CAAGCAGAGTCAACCAGCTCCAGAAGTCTGACGGGATTTTGAGGGAGGGAGCATTATCGATCTATCCATCACACAACACTGATAGCTGTGGCTGGCAAATTTCCAAGAATATGAAAGGTTATCTCGGTGAAGAACGGCAGGAAAATGCATTGTTAACAGTTTAAAGTCACTAACTGTTACTGCGTCATGACATTTTATGGTACAAGTAGTCTTGAAATGTCAGGGGACTCTTGATTGTTAGTAGTTTAATTTTATGATGATCATGAGAACAGCCACTGAGGCGCCACAGTGTATCTGACACTTCCTGGAGAGAAAGTGAGACCCCATTCCCTACTCGAGGCTAAATCCCCTGGAACCACACAGAACCAACTCTTTACCAAAGCATTGTGCCTGAAGGACCAGTGTTTGCCTTACACTGTTTACAGCAAACAAATATAGGGAAGTGAAACACTTGAGGCTTCAAAGAGGGTTTGGAAGCACCTTCTTGAAAGTACTGTTCAAGACTCCCAAATCCCACGTTGAAAGTCCGGCTACGCCACTTATCATGATGGAATGTTGCGATGCATCAGTGGTGTGGCGCAATTGGCATGTTCTATGACATATGTTGGTAATTGCACCATTAATGGGTACATAAGGGAATTTGAATGGGTGGTGGAGGTGCACACTTGACGCCGGGCACTTCAAGACGTGCCTAGTTCTAATAATCACCACTGGCAGGGGTGTAGTTCGTATTCAGAGGGGGAGTCCCGCCCCTCCCTCTCCTCTCCCCCCCCCCCCCCCAAACCCACACACACACTCACCAACTTTGAGAAGGAAGCGGGACAACACTGAAGAGTTTAATGTGTTTTGGGGCGGGCTGGGTCGTTTCCACTGCAAAACCCCCACCCCCACCCCCACCTCACCTCACTTTGCGCCCCTTCACCATTGGACACTGGCCCAGCACTGACAAGCCTGCATTAATATGCTAATTAGATGCAATGTGTGGGCTGTATTAGATTGGGAGAAGGCGTACGTTAACCCAAATCTTGCAAACCTTAATCTTATATATGTAAATCAAATCTTAAACGGGAGTCAGATGATCAATCAACGGAGTAAAATGCAGTTATGACAAGCATAGGCAGTGCACTTTTCCTGAGGCTTCGAGACATCAGAAATTACAGCTTGCCACATTTAGTCGCATTTGTGGGCTAATGAGAACACTACTCCACAAATTTGTTAGTTTTCGGATTACAGGCGAAGACGGCGTGGGACCGACCACGGGGTAATGTCGGCCACTCCCCTGAGCATAATATTGACAAAGGAAGTTGAGCTGACCTTTTCCGCTGAAGGTTGCGCGGATGACGGACATAGAGGGTGATCTAGATTTCACTGGTTTCTCATGAATAATTTGCCTTTTCTATTTCTGGGTGCGCTGTTGTAAGACCATGACTTCCATGTCCGCGGCTGCCAGGAAATCTGGAAACTATATCCAGTGTGTTGATTACCATCATTGCAGTGCCTGGAATGAAGAACAAAGAAACATTTCAGCGTCAATATGGTCCTTAATAATTTGAGCCATTGGTAAACGCTATTAGAGAAATCACGGTAACGCCGCCCACTTATGCCACAAATGATCGGGCTTACCCCATGCATTAATCGGGTGGCGGTCAATTTGGCTTCCCCACCCCCACCCCGAAGGTTTTTCAGGAATGATTGCCGAACAACGTGGGATGGCTGCGACAAATTTGCATAGCAGTTAACAATTCAATAGCGAATCTTTTGGTGTCAGAAAATTAGTCGTACCTCGTAAGGTCGCTGACCCGTAACAGATGAAACTCAGGCCTAAACCATCAAGGCAGTCTCATAAGGTCACTGATCTTTAATGGGCTTCAGTAAGCTTTTGCTCAGAACAGTTTTCTAGGCTCACGAGGGTTGCACGAGAAAGTCTGAGAGTATCTTGAATATCAATCTGGAGTTTGGCCTTGTTTGACCCTATTTGATCCAAAGGTCATGACCTAAGAGTCTCACATTTTGAAACAAACGAGTTCACATACAGGCCAACACACCTTGTGCATTTGGTGTCGCTAGCTTGTTTAGCCTTTGAGATCTCAAAGGATCAAATTGCCCCCTCCCTTACCGGGAGAAGGTTGTTCGACCGGCCACCCCGGGCGCGTGTTTACGATGCGCACATAAGCTTGTCGAGCTGTCTCGCCAACTCCCAACATTACTTGAGTGATCTATCTAGCCAGGTCTGCCCCGTTTGCGTGCGCTATCTCTTCACGTCCAAACATGAACCAAGCAACATAAGCCACTCGGTGTGCGTTGGCCAGCCAGTGGATGTGGGTGTCGAGCTTAGATGTAAGTCTCAATTAAAGTTTGCAGCATGGTGTAACTTGGTATACTGCTCTGATGGCTATGATGTGTGGATTTGCAGTAAACCTTTAATAACATGACATTGCACGACAATATATTTAACTGACGTGAACAGTGGAGTATCCAAGAAGGAACTTTTGTTGTCATACAGTACACAATCCCACCGCGCAGCTCGTACGTGGTACAGACCCCGAAACTGCCCATGTACGGACCACTGAAGAGAGCACGGACCGGTCAAGTCAGCTTCCAGTGTGAAGCCAATCCAGGGCAAACAATTACAGATAAGCATGTGGATGATGTTCTTGCTCGAGCTTGGCGCTCCATCGTGGGAAACCAAGACGTTATCACCATGGGGTTCAAATGCTAGTGGCGCTCACTCATTCAGCTCGGGTGGCGTGGGGGGGGGGGGAGGGGGGAGGGAACCTGAGGAGCTTCGTTCACAACGAGGTTTTGAACAAAAGGTTTCTGAGTGCAGGAGCAGTTTCATGGCCAATAGCGGCCCATGTGGATAGGGCGGTGGCAGCGCCGCTTCAGGCGGACAGACGGGTGGCAGCGCCGCTTCAGGTGGACAGACGGTGATTAACGCCAGATCAGGTGGATAGGACGGCTGCCAAGCCAGCTCAGGTGAACAGGGCGGTGACCACGCCAGCACAGGTGGACAGGAAGGCTGCCAAGCCGGCTCAGGTGGATAGGACGGCTGCCTAGCCAGCTCAGGTGGATTAGGACGGCAACCACGCCTGCTCAGGTACACAGAACGGTGCCAAGCCAGCTCAGGTAGACAGGGCGGTGACCACGCCAGCTCAGGTGGACAGGACGGCTGCCAAACCAGCTCAGGTGGACAGGAAGGCTGCCAAGCCAGCTCAGGTGGACAGGAGGGCTGCCCAAGCCAGCTCAGGTGAACAGGACGGTGACCACCCCAGTTCAGGTGGATAGGAGACTGCCAAGCCAGCTCACGTGCGCGGGACGGTGACCTCGCCACATCAGACGGACAGGACGTTGACCACATCAGCTCAGGTGGACAAAACGGTGACCACGCCAGCTCAGGTGGACAGGACGACTGCCAAGCCAGCTCACGTGGATAGGACGGTGACCTTGAGACTTCATTGAGACTTAAATCTAAGCTCGACACCCACATCCACTGGCTGGCCAACGCACACCGAGTGGCTTATGTTGCCTTGGTTCATGTTTGGACGTGAAGAGATAGCGCACGCAAACGGGGCAGACCTGGCTAGATAGATCACTCAAGTAATGTTGGGAGTTGGCGAGATTCCCCGCCGGCGGGCCTACCCCGGAAAAATTAATGCCTTACGAAACATGACAAAACCATACCATATATCAAATAGTAGTTTTCGTGTTTTTTTGACAAATACAGCAGGACCAAGGTTTGCACCTACATATAAATATTGAATATACCTTGAGTAGTTTTCAAGACAAATCCGGAAAGGACTATGGAGTGGAGGCCACTCCGGGCTCCCCCAATGCTTACCCAGTGATAATGTGCCAACGAGATGCGATTGGAGTTCTGCAATTATTGCAATCATTTATTGAATAGGCGAATAAGATCCTGTCACCTCATGTGTTATCATAGGGCCTTGCATCAGCCCACAGCATGCCACCGCGTGCTCACCTTTGCCAGTGACGGACCGGTCAGGGGTTGATGTGTCGCGTGAATGAGTCATTAGGTGCATATATGAGCCGTCAGCAAGGGTCATCAGTCAATGTTTTCCTTCCTTTCGGGTAGTGAACAGCGCCGCTCAGGTGAGTAGTGTCAAACCACATGATTTTAGACAATACCTTATTGGGGATCTAAGAAATGAAAATTGCTTTCGGTATCGACTTTTGTAGCATGCAGCGTTTTTCGAGCGCAATGAAAAGCGAGCAAAGCTTACAGGAAAGCTATACATGCTGCTAGGTCGATGGGAAGGATGATATCGGATGCGATGCGTAGGGCAAATGTATCCTTTTTGTATCCATCCTACCAGGGCATAATGGCGTTTATGCACGCTTTCAGCAGGAAAGCAGAGTTTTCCACGGGGAAACACATTTTTCAGCACTGGTGTGACATGAGCCAAAACCTTCAAACTAGCTACTGAAGTCATACTCTCACAGTTGAGAACTAATGCATTACCCTTGATCTTCTACCAAAATGTCAAACGAGATCACGAAATAGCTTTTCTGGCATTGCAAACAAAGTATGTGCTACATTCTCAGACTTATAGCATTTCAAATGGTATGCAGCAATTGTATAGCCATGGCAGTTTTATAGAACATGCAGAGCTTTTATAGAACATGCAGAGCTTTTATAGAACATGCAGAGCTTTTCTAGAACATACAGAACGCTTTGGGTAAACATCACTGACTTAAAGACTGCACGGGCTTTATCTCACAAAGCGCAAATAACATCGGGCAAAAAGCTTCACCATATGCCTCTACAGAACAGCTTACGTCAAGCTGTGCTGTTACATGGGGTGTTATAAACCAGTCGACCTAAGGTCAAAACCCTGAAACTGATCCCATGGCTCAAGTTACACAGCGTGTTGTGTCATATCCCACAGATCCTGCCTTCATTCTATCGTCACTTCTGGAAGTGAACAGGACCGGACATCAACTACAGGTTTATTTCTTCTCCCAATCGACACTACGAGGACATGACGAGGCGCAATACCGGTGAGAGCTGGCACACGCCGCTAGAGTGGTTTGACGAGCGGACTGACTCACTTACATATCAATGTAGATTTCTGGGTTGTCGATATATAAAGGTACAAAGCCACCAACAGACATGCATTCGTCTCATTAAGATGACCATATTCCTGTTTCCTTGGAGCCGAGCCGTTTTATCACGCGGACGTTAAAATCGTTCACATGTTGAATAATCTGTGGGCTACGAAATGCTCCACGGATGGAACTCGGCGGATTAGGGGTGGACTGGGTATAACATTAGGTGATACCACAGGAACTTGAACAGTTTTGATAGTCGAATGGCAATGCTAACAAAGTTGGTGTAATCCCCAACTCTACGTTTTACTTTTCCACAAGACGCAGAAATCCATACAAAAACTATCGTTTCAACTCCAGCAGTTTAAACAAAGCCTGAAATATCGCTGAACTTACTCTTTGTATTTGGCCGCAACACCACATAGGAAAAGGCTGGCTCGATTAATGCATCCCTACTGCGACCTTGTCTTCCATGGACCATGTAAGGCAAGCACTTTGGAGAGTTATTGCCACCTGAACGGAAAGTCGCAAGACACAAAGAGTTTCTCACTAAATAAAGGGAATTTCTCAACGTTTTACGTTCTCATTCCCAAAAATGATTTTGCGCAGATCCCACCTATTTACAACGACGTGAGTGCGTTTCTTTTACGGTGCAATTGCATCTTGTAACAGAAGCGCTGTTGGAATATGGGTTCACACATATCAGTATGCCATACATTTGTGTTATTGGTAACTGAAAAGAACGGAAGTTTGAGGTTGTCAAATAGAAGGGATGTTGTTTAAAGCCTATCTGAAATTTCAGGATTTTATTGAACTATATCCTGGAAAGGTAATTATAAAGAGGTCTTCTACTCATAATCCATGCGGCGGTGATCGGTAACAAGTGAGGCGATAGGTGATGTTATGAGCAATGCACCGGAGCGGCCAGCGGTGGTGGTGGTGTCAACCTCGGCAAACTTGTATTTGTTGTCATGGCCTGCCAACCATCACAGAGCAATGTTATTCTTGGCGGCTTTATAGCTCATCACCAGTTAACCAACGCTAACTCTGTTGCGGTCCTATCGTACCCCGCTAGAACAACCGAGGCCGCACATCGCTGCCGGCCATCGCCAGAAATGAGACTTGCGTGGGTTTCTGTGAGACCTAAGATGATCCGCCTTCTCAGGCGCCTGCCTGGCGCCACTCTTGCTGCTGGCCACGCTGGGAGGCGCCTCTGTGCCCACTGGCCTGGACATGAAGCTGCTCAGGGAGGTGACGTCGAATCCGATGAACAACCATGTGATCTCGCCGTTCCTGATGTCGCTGCTGATGTCGCAGGTCTGGCTGGGCGCCGAAGGCACAACCAGAGCCGAGGTGAGGCCACAGATGATGGATGTTCAGTGAGGCGTGCTATCTGCACTGGTTCGAGGCACATGTGCCAGCTCACCTTGCAGAGGACATAAAACATGATTTATCGCCCTGTGATCTTTGTTGATGAAACATGGAGGAGAGATATGACATTGTTATGTCTGTCTACTCCACCCAGATGACGCCTGTGCTGGGAATGTCCGGTCCAAACGACAGATCCTTCCTCGACGGCTACCGCTCGGCCTTGGCCGTCTTGTCTGGAACCAGTGACGGCGTCAGGGCGTCAGTGTTCAGCAGGATCTATCGCAAGCGCAGCTTCAGCGTGCGCCGCACCTTCAGCGATTTATTGGCGCGTTACTACGGAGCCGGAGTGGAGGTGCTGCCCAGCAACGCCTTGAAGGCTGCTCAGGTCATCAACAACCAGGTGTCGGTGGCAACGCGCGGACACATCAAGGACCTGGTGTCAAGTGCCGACGTCAGGAATGCTCAACTGGTGCTTTTAAGCGCCGTGTATTTCAAGGGCACTTGGCTTTATGGCTTCAAGAAGCACGGGCAGAAGCCGTTCTTGACGTCGGATGGTGATCGGCGGGTAGACATGATGATGGTGGAGGCAGAGTTTGGTACTGCCGCCCGACCACACTTTGATGTCGTTGCGTTACCGTACCAAAACCAAGATTACAGCTTGCTGGTGCTGCGCCCGCGCAGTCGCTCCATGGCTGGCGTGACCCTGATGCGGAAGTCTCTCGACGGCCTGAACGTGACCCGGCTACACAGTCAGCTACGTCAGCGAACCGTGCGTGTGGTGATGCCGTCGTTCAAGATCGAGGGTCTCTATGTGATGCCCTTCTACATGAGAAGCCTGGGCATCAAGCGGATTTTCCAACGGGGGGCAAACTTCAACGGCATATCGTCGGACAAGACCTTTGTCAGCAACATCATCCATAAGGCGGTGATGGAGGTCAATGAGGAGGGCACGACAGCTGCGGCGGCGGCAGTGATAATAGTAGCAAGAATCGGGATTCAATCCGCGACCTTCGCTGTAGACAGGCCATTTTATGTCATTCTCTACCACAAACGTGAAAAAGTCACCTTGTTTGCTGGACTAGTAGCTAATCCTTGAGAGCACAGCATGATCATTGGGTACGCCTTTGTTCCATGTGCATCCGCCATCGTTGGTTTTAATCACATTTGTTTCAAACCGAAAGGGTCGCCTGACATTTTTGCGATTAGAGTGGATGCACCGAAAATACGTAGACGTATCCGACTGCCAATAAAAGAGGCCTTTTGAAGGGATCATTTGTGTGCGAGAGCGCCGACTTCATGAGAGTTGAACGGGTCGCGTACACGGCCTGTTTTCTGAATTATGCAAACGGTACTTGACTTCATCGTCTCACATGTATCCTGCTCTCGCCAAAAAGTCTCCCTACAGAAGCAATGGATGCGTATCAGCATGGGCCTTTGCAAGACTCTAGAAAGACTCTACCTGCCATTCAAACAGCGATTCTTTGATCACCCTTGGTCTCTTATTATCCACGTTGTAAGGGCTTGTCAGCGTGGTGACACGTTGCACCATGATCCCTTCTTTGGATACTGCGACAACTGCCAAGCTGTGGTTTATTCAGGCAGCAGTACACCGTCGAACTAGACACCCAGTCTGCAACACATGCAAAGGACTCATTAGCTGGCAACTAGCCATACACCGCATGCAGCCCTGGGAGCTGGCATAAGGGCACGCAGCATGCAGCAACGAGAGCGTCCATGACCACATGCACCAAGCAACCACCATGCAAGCCACTACCGCATGCGACACCAACAGTACATGCACAACCGCCAAGGCATGCACATGCAGCACGTCACAATACCAATACTGTGGATTCCAGACCTGCGACGGAAGCCAACGCACACACCTGAGAAGCATCTGATACAGGGTCAGCAATAATGCAGTATCTCCTTCTCTGAAGCACACTTCATATAATTAGGTTTGCCTGTGGCCGAGACGGGGATCGGTCCGCAAGCTCCATGAAAACGAACATAAACTCCGACATGTGTTTGAAGTCCTTGACGAGAACAACTTCAGTCTACAAACAAGGATTAAATTTCCTACAAGATTTGCGGGACATAATTGTATGGGGGAGGGGGGACAGAGACCGCACGTCGGGGACGCACACCATGGAAGGAATGCGAAGTTTGCCTTATGGTCACAGAGTTTCTCACGGCCTGTGTTGCGGCACAGCCGTGTGGGTGATAAAGGCAGTGAAAGTTCAACTCGTGCCTGGAAACTTTAGTGCCCGATGCATTAGCACAACATTTCAAACAGGTTCAAGCATTATCTGTGAACTAGGTCCGGACGGTGCATAATTACACGGAAACACGGAAGAGAGATGTGACACTGCGTGCCTGTCTGGCTCCACCCAGATGACGCCTGTGCTGGGAATATCCGGTCCAAACAACAGATCCTTCCTCGACGGCTACCGCTCGGCCTTGGCGGTCTTGTCGGAGAACAGCAACGGCGTCACGACGTCAGTGTTCAGCAGGATCTATCGCACGCGCAGGTACAGCGTGCGCCGCACCTTCAGCGACCTGCTGGCGCACTTCTACGGGTCTGGAGTGGAGTTGTTGCCCAGCGGCGCTAGGAAGGCCGCCCAGGTCATCAACAACCAGGTGTCGGCGGCAACGCGCGGACGCATCAGAGGCCTGGAGACAACTGCCGACCAAGCTTCCTTCTCGAAATTTTGCGCTATGTTACTTCGGGCGTATTGGTTACGTGAGAAGCAAAGCCTCACACAAACATCGACGCCCCCAAATATTTGACCGATGGCGAGGTACTCTTTAGCGGTGTGGGCTCGCAACGCAGGCTTCGCCACAGAGGGGAAAGGGGCGCATCCTTGAATGTTACAGGATCACGTCTATGGTTGCATGAAAAAACGGCACGCATAAAACTAAGCCTCTCTCTTGACATTTGACACATGACGGCGTTCTCGGCTGACACCGAGGTGCCCACATTGTTCCAAGCCGTTGCCGTCGTACAAGGTCCCGTCCTTGGCACTGTCGTCGCCGGCACGCACGGCCGGCAAACAACGCAACGCCAGCGCACCACCAGATGTAGTCCCGGCCTTCGAGCGGCCTTCTCCGCGGGGAAACTGTGGTCCAACCCGTGCCCGTTCGGTCTGACCGCGTCCCCCCCCCCCCCCCCGGACAGCGCCAACAATCACTCCTGGGCTGTTATTCGGAGGCGGTGTGATCACACGCCGCGCGCTCCGAGCTCGCGCGGCCTCACCGCTGCCCCGTGCCGTCCGCGCGCTGCCGACTCGCGCGTCCTCACCGCTGCCCCGTGCCGTCCGGCAGGTACCATGTCTCGGCTCTCGCTCGTCGCGCTCAGCGTCCTGCTGGTTGCCATAGTGACGGCCGACATGCCGTACCAGCTGTCGAGCGGCTTTGAAGACATCGTGCCTAACCTGGTGGAGACGTTCACCTGCGAAGGCCGGCCGTACGGCTACTACGCCGACGTGGCCAACGACTGCCGGCTCTTTCACGTCTGCGTGCCCGTCGTCGATGATGTTGGAGAGGTAAGCGGTGCTGCGGGAGAAGCCCCTGCCCTGGCACAGCTGGTGTGCCCGCCAACGTCTGAAGCCTGAGCTGTGGCTGGCGCTTGGTGGACAGCACGGATCTGCGGTGGCTGGAGTGGATCCCGCTAATCTTGCAGCCGACTTTGGTGACGTACCTAGATCGCAACAATACTGTTCTGGCTCGCAGGCTCAAAGAGATCCGGTCACCGTGAAAAAAGAGTTAAACGAGCTCGTGGTAAACCCGAAATGGTTATGCCTTTGCGGCCCTATGCCTGCATTCATGAATGACTCAGAACAAGGAGCGACATATGGCAGCCGTCCCGAAGCTAATTTTGATGGTAGCCCTGTGTGCTGAAAACCATGTTCCATGCATTTAACATTCATTTCGATGGTCAAGAAACACGCTGAGCTGTGATGATACAGCGGCGCATTTGACGCATTGTGTTAGACCGTTCTCATCACCCGGATCATGCTCAGATTTGGGGAGGCATGAAGGCAGTTTCTTTGCTGGATACCTCTCCAGACACACACGCACGGCACGCACATTACATACGCACAATTACAGATACGCACAGCTCAGATCAGAGGTCCTTTTTGGGAGTCATATTTCAGATCAGAACTCCTTATTTGTCTAGAATGTCCCAGGGCCCCTCACATGTCACCCTCCTCGGACATGACGAAATGCCTAGTGGGACGTCTTGGGGACCCTATCGTGAACACGAGCTATGTTGCGATTCCCCGAGTCCACCGATAGCTTAGTAAAAGACTTTCGGCAGCTGTGTTGTGATACTTTCAAACTAAAGATCATTTTTACAGTTCCGCTGGCCTCCTTTTGTATCCGGTCCCTTGCAAGTCCGAAGAAATCGAACATGCTCAAGTTTCTGCCCAAGGGTTCTTTCAGAGCAAAGAACACTTACATCCTTTTGTAACCCCATGGACACCCAAGAAATCCATTGGTGCCTTCTCACGCACAAAATGTCTAAAAACCTTTCTGCAAGTCAAAGAGCTTCTTATCCGTTTGATGTTTCTAAAATGGCTTTTTGTTTTGTTAGCTAAAATTTGTTTTGTATGCGAGGGATCACCCTACCTTGGCAGGCCCGAGGGCCCTCGCTACAAATTCAGCTTTTGCAGTCTATTTAACAGGGGCTACCTGTCTACAGATATTGGTGAATACATATATATATATATATATATATATATATATATATATACGGGTTGGGCATGTCACAGCTAGTTGGGCAAGGCTATGGACGAGGACAGAGGGCACCACTCTTTGCGGAAGGTGAGAAAACACCAGCAGTTCACGGGTAACTATAGCTAAAATGGCAAGGTTTTTCGATTCGTAGACTCTGGCATAAAGGCTAGAGCCAAACGCTATTTCGATACAGGTGATGAGATTCCGGACATTACTGCTCACGCCGAACATATCACGTATCCGAAACAGGTATTCACAGCTCCTATGCGTAATCGCATCTGATGAATGCAGAATCATACCCAGGTAGTTATCCACTAACCAAATTGGCAGGCTTGGTGGTCATCAGCACATTATGCGAGGGAGACGTGACGAAGGTTGGCATGACGTCACACATCACGTGACGCGCATCACCGCCCGGGGCCATGCAAAGACCGCAAACCAGCGCTCATTATCGCCTACTGAGCTATTAGCGTGGAGGTCGGGGCATAATCTGCGCCGGCCGACCGGGTCAGGGGGTCAGGGGGAGGAGCGGCGGGGAGGGTGCGTCGCAGCCATGCATCAGTCCGTTGCCTCACCAATGTCCGTAACAGGTGAGCGCCGACTGGGGGTCCCGCGGTGATGGGGGAGGGGGGGGGGGGTCCACGAGGTCCCCGTGGCATGAGGTAACGCATCGCGCCTTGGGGGCCGGTGCTGGTGGTGTGGCCCGTGCAGCGGTTGGGTAACCACCCCTGGGGCGGCAGACGGTCCGAGTATGCACCCAGTTTGAGGAGGGGGGAGGGCGGCACCGGACGGTGGCCGCCGATGAGAGCGCAGCGAGGAGTTGCGGAACCGACTACAATGGGCTGTTTGAACGGCATGATTACCCGAAAATACACCGGTGATGCATCGTGGGTATTACCTCTCGCATGCCGTTGCGATGGGAGCGTGAGCTAGCGAAGCATGTGCGCTTATCATCGCGATTCGTCTGTCGCGAACAATCGAAGCTTAGGATTACGACATAGGTAAATTGGGCGGCATCTGTTTAAGCCAGGCGGCCAAATGTTCCGCGTCTCACGCGGTAGCTGCGTACGGTCAATTTGTACGGGAACGATGCACAATTTGGCTCATTCGCTTTTCGCTTTGCATTCTATAAAGTAAGAGGACACTATCCTCGAGCGATGTAAAACACACGATTAAGCTTCATTATGATTGCTATCCCGCATTCCGAAGAACACCAGACACAGGATGGGCGATTGAATGGTGTTGGCGTAAAGCACGCTATGGTCAGCGGCCGTGTCTCGTTCTCACGCCCTCTCTACCTCTCTGTGCGCCGCAGACCCTGCAGACGGACCAGTACAGCTTCCTGTGCGGCAACGAGACCATCTTCGACCAGTTTACGCTGACCTGCAACTACCCGGTGGACGCGGCGCCCTGCGAGGACGCGGAGAGCATGTACTCACTCGCCAATGATGTGTTCTTCAAGCTAGCGGACGGCAGCAGTGCGTAGAAGGTCGCGCATTGGTGTGTTGGTGTGTTGGTGTGGTGTGTTGGTTGGCGTACGTTTGTGTGCATTTGGTGATCACGACAGCTTCATTTCCGCGTTTACGTATTCTCACGTCACTAGCAGAAGCAAGCATATAGGTGGCAGCACTGCTGGTTGCAGAAAGATGCTGGTGTGGACGTCGGAGCCCCGTCCTGCTTTACACTGCTATGATGCGATGGATTGTTAAGAACATGGCACGTGTGTGTGTGTGTGTGTGTGTGTGTGTGTGTGTGTGTGTGTGTGTGTGTGTGTGTGTGTGTGTGTGTGTGTGTGTGTGTGTGTGTGTGTGTGTGTGCGTAACATATTGAAGACCTGGCGGTTTTTTAAGGAAGACTGGAAGCGTTACAAGAAGAAAAATATAAAGCGGCTTTCACTACGGAATGTATTTACATATTCATATGCGTTACTCAACATATACGGCCGCATGATTTAGCGCATAAGCTGCACATGCAGCAAATTACATGTGACCATGGGCCGCCCGCAATAGAGTGACATAATGACCTGACTTGAAAGCATCATGCAATGTAACGACTGAATGCGGCACTGCTATGATCCGCTCATTTGCAAGCCAGCTCATGAGATATGCCGACTCTTTTGCCCGCACATCTGGCCTCGGCGCGCCCACAGGCACATATTACCGCCCTACTGCGACCACACGTCCCTAGTCGGAGGACAGATGGTGAGCCCCCCCGGCGTCGTCGGTGTCACGCTGGGACACTTGTGAAAGCCTCCAGTGCCCACCGCCGTGCCAGCATTTGGAAAGCGTTCCGTGAGGTTGTTCGCGACGCCCGTCACCTCCTACCCAGGCCCATAGATGAACGTGGTTCTGCTGACCAGCTGCTCCGACAGCAGTTTGAACACTTCCTCCACGATCAGTATTTGCCTATTTCGGGCGCGCCTGAGTATTGTGCTGTGGCACGCTCAGCTATACCCGTGGTATGAAGTCACTCACACCAAAGTCA